GTTGATGGTGTCTCAGTGTGATGATAACCCTAATCCTTGCCCTAATACTGTGTGTCCAGGGTGTGAGGTGGCCCCTGATGTCAACGTGGCTGGACAGAAGTTCTGTATCAAGCTGCTGATCCCAGCACCTGAGGGCATGAACGAGGTCTACCTGCGCTGTGAGAATGTGAGACAGCAGCCTGACCACACTGCACCGCTCTCCCTGAGCTCTGCTCCTGCTCTCTCACTCCCCTCTTTCTATTTCCTCTCTCTCCTGCTCCTCTCCCCTCTCTCCCCTCTGTCTCTCCTCTCCCTCTCTCTCTAACGGCCCTGCTGTCTCTGGGTGTGCTCAGGAGAAGCAGTACTCCCAGGAGAGCGGTGCCTGTCTCCCCTCTCTCTCCCCTCTGTCTCCTCTCTCTAACGGCCCTGCTGTCTCTGGGTGTGCTCAGGAGAAGCAGTACTCCCAGTGGAGGGGTGCCTGTCTCCCCTCTCTCTCCCCTCTGTCTCCTCTCTCTAATGGCCCTGCTGTCTCTGGGTGTGCTCAGGAGAAGCAGTACTCCCAGTGGATGGGTGCCTGTCGACTGGCCTCCAAGGGCAAGACTATGGCGGACAGCACCTATGCCAGCGAGGTGGCCAACATCCAGGCCTTCCTGGCCATGCAGCGCTCGAACCCGGGGCCACAGCCCTCCGCCACTGATGAGACCATCAACACCCAGAGCCTGGTCTCCCCGCGGTACCAGAAGAAATACAAGGCCAAGCAGGTACTGTCCTGAGAGTGGAACAGTGGTACTGATCCTAACAAACTGACACACTGAGACACTGATCACTGACACACTAAGACACTGAGACACTGACACACTGAGACACTGACACACTGATCACTGACACACTGACACACTAAGACACTGAGACACTGACACACTGACATGATTATCACTGTCACACTGAGACACTGACACACTGATCACTGATACACAGATATACTGATATTGACCCCGACACTGCAAACTGACACAGATACACAGATACACTCTCCCTCTCTCACTCCAGTTAACCCCTCGCATTCTGGAGGCTCACCAGAACGTGGCCCAGCTGTCTCTGCTGGAAGCCACCATGAAGTTCATCCAGATCTGGCAGTCACTGCCCGACTTTGGCGTGTCGTACTTCGTGGTGAGGTAAGGGGGCGCTACAGTGCACAGCGTGGGTAAATGCTGACATTGGCTGCCATGTAAAATCAGAGTCCTACAGCCCTCCACATCTATATAATCTTACAATGTACTCCCTTCCTGTCTCTCCTCTAACCCCCCCTGTCCTCTGTCCTCCTCTCCCTCTCTCTCCTCCTCTCACCCTCAGGTTTAAGGGGTGTCGTAAAGACGAGGTGCTGGGCATCGCCAACAACCGGCTGATCCGCATCGACCTGGCTGTGGGCGACGTGGTGAAGACCTGGCGCTACAACAACATGCGCCAGTGGAACGTCAACTGGGACATCCGGCAGGTGGGGCGCAGGGGGCTGTGTGCCCAGAGAGGGGGCGCAGGTGGGCAGGAGGGGGGCTGTGTGCCCAGAGAGGGGGCGCAGGTGGGCAGGAGGGGGGCTGTGTGCCCAGAGAGGGGGCGCAGGTGGGCAGGAGGGAGGTTGTGTGCCCAGAGAGGGGGCGCAGGTGGGCAGGAGGGAGGTTGTGTGCCCAGAGAGGGGGCGTGGCTGGGCTGTGTGCCCAGAGAGGGGGCGCAGGTGGGCAGGAGGGGGGCTGTGTGCCCAGAAAGGGGGCACAGGGGGCAGCTGGTGGGCTGTGTGCCCAGAGAGGGGGCACAGGGGGCAGCTGGTGGGCTGTGTGCCCAGAGAGGGGGCACAGGGGGCAGCTGGGGGGCTGTGTGCCCAGAGAGGGGCAGGAGGGGTACGAGGCCAAAAGGTGACACACAGACGCTGGTTCGACAAGAGCTAGACGGCACTGGAGTGAGAAATGGAGAAGAGTATTAAAACTGCGGATTTCAAACGTTCTGATTCTCTCTCTCCCCCCTCCTGCAGGTGGCGATAGAGTTCGAGGGCAACATCAACGTGGCGTTCAGCTGTGTGACGGCGGACTGCAAGATCGTGCACGAGTACATCGGCGGCTACATCTTCATGTCCACACGGACCAAGGAGCAGAGCGACTCCCTGAACGAGGAGCTGTTCCACAAGCTGACTGGGGGACACGAGGCCCTCTGAGCACCCCCGGGACCCCCATACCGCCGTCCGCTGTGTGTCTGTCTGATCTCACACTCCCTGTCTCACTCTCCCTCTGTCTGTCCCTCCCGTGTGTCTCTCACTCTCCCCCTGGGTGTCCCTCCCGTGTCTCACTCTCTGTACCCGTCTCCCCCCGTGAGTTGCCAGGCACTGGCCCACCATCCCCTTGTCCACTGACCCTGTCACGCTCTCATGTGACCTATGACCTCTGACCTGCCAGCCTGTCCTTCCAGGGTTACGATGTGTGTCAATGCTGATTGGAGATCAGTGGTCTATAACACCCTGTGGACACTGGATTGACAGGGAGGGATATTATGACGCCTGTATTTAACCCAGATAGTTTAATAACTGTTACTGTTATGAATTATTAACAACTGAGAATATAACAAGATACTCACTGGTGTTGTGATTTTCTTACATCCAAAACTGCAAACTATCAAACATAAAAATACTGGGATAACTACAGACACCCCTGAGGTCCAGACTCTTACTGGACACTATAGAGACACCCCTGGGGTACAGACTCTTACTGCACACGCTGTACAGACTACCCTGGGGTACAGACTCTTACTGGACACTATAGAGACACCCCTGGGGTACAGACT